GGAAGAAATAAATCAAAAAATAAGAAAAAAAAATAACTAAGAATAATTCATTTGCAGAGGTACCTTATTTAAGTATAATACAATGCTAACAATGCGGCTCTTGTAGCCCTGGCTTGGGCAAGGCATCCATGTGCAAAGCAGTGGCGTTTGTTTATCCATGAAAAAAGCACGCCGGGAAAGTTTGCCTTACCAGGAAAAAGTGACGTATCTAGCTTATGACGTATGCATGCTAACTAATGTGAGTATGACGTCACCAAAAATGAATATTTTCTATTATAACCAAAATATTAATAACTACAAAGTTTCTGGGCGTAAATTCCCTTAATATTAATGAAGGGTTGCTCAATCTCCTTGCCATACAAATTACAGCCCCCACTGACGTCTCAGTCGAGAAATACGGGTAGCTGAAATTTTTCTCGCAAATCTGACTACAAAACCATATCCAAATTTCACGTTCCACTTTTGACCCTGAGTTGTGCTTCGCACTCGCCGCTCAGGGCGGCGTTCCGGGAACCCTGCGTCTAGGGCAAGTTTATAGGATCTGTGGTTAACCAACAAAACATCTTGTCTTGTACTGTACTTTCAGGCAGAAAATTCATTTCAAATTATTGAAACTTTTATGAGAGGACACCATGTGTACAATTCAAGGATATGACTTCATGGATTCCTCCAAGCATGTTTGCATATTTTTGTTAACTTGTTGAAATAAATATTACAAACATTAAAAATGTAGTTAAAAATCATCTAAAATCACCATAATTTGCGAATTATCACATTTCAAAAGATCGAGCGCCCCCACACTTCACCTTCGCGCCCCATCCCCCATCAGCACCCCCATTCCATTCTCATCTGACAGACCGGTAGACCTATGCTATCAGTCGTTTAAAGTACAGTTCTGCACTGAAGCTTATAAAAATCAAACAAAACACAAAAGTTGCTAGATAAAACTGACATTCATCGACATTAGAGATCAAAGGTCATATTTCACTGACTGTAGAAGTGTATTGGAAATGGCGTTGGACTGCATATATGCTGTAGGACATACAAAAATCGTCCAAAAATCTTAAACTTGGGGTCGTCTTATTTATACGCCAGCATATACAGTACAAATAATAGTCATATTAAAACAGAACAAACTAAAATACTGTATTTAAAGCAATATTTATTCCTTGTAATATGCAATACAATATAACAATACACCAAGCACCTTTTATGTCTAGTACAATATTATTAATATTTCTGTAAGTTGGGGAAAAACATTGATAACTGATTGGAACATATAACATCATTTTAGTGATAGAAAATAAACTAGAATATCCACAAAATTACAGTACTAAAACTTTCTTTCGTTTATTTACTGACATACTGTATTAGAGTATGGTATAAGTAAAAATCAAGGTGCTGAAGTTAAAAACTTCTAAAATTCAAACCACATTTCTACTAAGAGAGCTAAAATAACTTGATAACACAGTTTATGGAGTAACAAATATGAATATGCATACCTACATCAATGAATATTTGTAATCAAATATGAATATTCATTATCAAGTATGAATATTTATTATCAAATATGAATATTCATAATAAAGCACCAGTTATCAACATGAAGAATTACATTTCCCCATTTACAAATCATGCAATTACTAGGCCTAGTCATTTAAACCTTTGTAATACAAAAACGAAAAATAAACAACTTTCTGTATAATATAAAAACTTATAGTAACTTGCCTCAAATCATCCCAGTGAATCATTTTACTGTTTTAAACTTTACTGTATAAAACATTGCAAAATATCAAAAACTCCAACTACACTACATTTCAATTTGAAACAAAAATTGAACAATGCATAATCTTTGATTAGGCCAGATTTTTTTTGTACCTTTTAGCAAACCCGCCGTCCGCCAATAATGATAATTTCGAATAAAAATGAAATTTTATTTTTGTCCAATTAATGCACCCGCCGCCACAACAAATGGAAATTTCAGAAGAAAAATTTTAAATTTTTATTACGCCTGCAACTGCCTTGAAATCTTCAAAAATAAGATCTGTTACTGTATATGAAGTGTATTTCAGACAATTTTATGGAAAAAACCCAACATAGATTACAGAGCCCTATCATTTGATTGAAAGTAAATAATTATTTCAAGGTTTTATCTAAGTGCAAATCCAAGTTTGATTGCTTAATTAAAGAAATGCTTTGGATCAAAGAACTGAAACCTACACTTAACAAACTGATTCAGTCAAAGCCAAACTGTTTAGTTAAGCTGCTAAGAAGGACTAAATTATACATCAGCTTAGCTCCACTATGGCTCCACACAGTTGGCCCTATTGATATGTAAATTAATTACTTCCTGTCACTGGTATTTTTGTTTTTAGTTTTTTCAATTTACTTGATCTTGAGAATGGTTCCACGATGGACCCGAAACGTCGATCTTTCTTGTCATTAAATTTTGTTTTGAAAGTAAATAACAAAGTTATAAAAATACAAGTTACTGTAAACTTACTAAATAGACGGCGGACCGCTATGTGGACTACATTTGACAGGTAATTTTAAAGCCAAAATTGGTCTGGCGAACCGATTTTGGTCCCAGACCAAGTTTTTCCTGACAGTTTAAATTGTCGGGGCCCCACTGAATAAAACAATGGTATTGCAGTTTATATTATATTTTTTAAACTAGAGTGTCGGGGCCCCTCGTGCTGGAGGCCCTGGCGCTCCACCCCCCTGTCAGCGACTGAGTGAGACGCCACTGGTCTGGATGTTTTTGACAAAACTATTTGCTAAATAAGAAAATACAATTTAATTCCATTTTTTCTTTCTGCCCGCCTCTGACGATCTTAAAAAAAAAAATTTTGTGAATCATGGTATAAAAAAGTCTCGCCTTAAAGAAAAAAATTATAGAAAATTAATCTTTGAATTACAAAACTGTAGCACAGTGTATTATCATCAGATATGGCTGTCTCACCAATGTACATTTCTGTAACATATAAGACTATATTCATCAGATTGCATACAAGCTACATATAAAAGTATTCACAATTAAGAAAATACTTAAAATTTAAAATTTTTACTTTTATATAACACTATGCACACAAAAGGTAACATCTGGATACTATACTGCACATCCAATAATAAAATAGTTACTGTATTAAAAGACTGAAAAGGTACAGTATGAAGGATTATTTTGACACGAAAAACACATCCTTACATTCATGTACTGTATCAAAATGGATAAAGCCTCTCTTTACTTATCACTTTACAATTTGCCACACCCAAGAACTTGCACAACACAAGTAATGCATATTAATACATACAACATCATGAACAAAAATCATCTTCAAGAAGATACACTAATATCAGATAGATGGAATGATTAAATTGGTATTAAAGCTATTGAAAAAAAAATCAGGTGGGTAGTTGGCAGGAAACCAGGTTGGCTAATGCCTTTTGAGTCCTAGATCTCAGACTATAAATAGCCCCTTATAAAACAATTGTTTATATGCCTGTTAAAGAATCGAATCCTGTAGTATGGTACAAGGTGGCCAACATATCAATATATAACATGCTGTGGGGTGCTTTGGTAAGGTGAGCTTAGTCATATTAATTACAAACACTGACACTGAACTCTAAGTACTTCACCTTACTCAAACCATATGTACAAATAAAACATCCTTGTTTATATTTAGTATATAAATTTAGGTAGATGGTAGCCTCGTTAGTTTATTTGTCTTTTTTACGTTACTATCCTACTATAGCCATGGTAGCAAAGCAATGGTATAAGAATGTGCCATAGTTTGTATGCAAACACGCTACATTCACTGCCCCAGACGGTTGTCGGCCGACGCGACTTTTTAAAGAACGCAACTACATGCTCGCAATGGATACTGTAATTTTTAATGACAATCCATTAAGACCGCCACCAACTATCAGTAGACGGCCTCGCGTCATCTAGCACTCACCTGGATTTGTCAAAGGGTTGTACGATGCAGTGAGTGCCTGGCTTAACATACAGGACATACAAAAACATGTAGGCCTGAAGCTTAGACCATGAAATTATTAACATAGACTTCCTTCCTGCATATACCAAAAACTAAACATATTAAAACCATCATATAATACTTAGTCATATTTATCTTTAAACCACAGGTTTTAAGCAATATGCAACATGAATGATGATAATGCTTAGAATAAAAAAATAATGCTTTATACAGGAAATCTGAATCAGAAATCCTACACCATCTGCTCCACAAATGATTAATATAAAGGTACTATAGTAATGTTAGGCAGCTCTATGAACCTAATGATTAACATTTCTGAATATTGTAAAAAAGAGAATCATAATACTTTCTAGCTGAGATGGTTTTATTCAGCACCAGAGAAACATTCTGATTTGATCAGTTTAATTATGGAACCAATGGAAATGCATTTCATGCAAAAAAGTAAACAAACACAAATGAGCCTATTTAGAGGGAAACTTAATCAACTTGCATTTTTAAATTCCCTGTAAGACAAATAAACCTTTGATTTATATTGTTGAAAGGCGACATCTTCTTAATTGACACATGAGACGGGATTTGGTATTCTTATTTATAATACTTTTCACTTTTACAATCTTGGGACGAAATTCAGCACGATGGTGACACAAGTGTGCCGCAGTAGAGAGTTTATTAGAGTTTACGCGTCCTTGATTGATGATATCCAAAAAAAGTGTACCCAGTGAGTATATATCACTTTCGTACGAGTGTGGACTTGCACGGAGACATACCTCTGGTGCGATCCAGTCATACTTTTGGGGGTCTAAAATTGTTGGTTCATATCTAGGACTTGAGTCCAAGCAAGATCGACCATAGTCAACAATGACAGGTTGGTAATTGTTATCTACGATAACATTCTCAGATTTCAGATCCGCATGGATTATACCACTGTCGTGAATTGATTCTAAGACATCACACATAGCATTTGCAATGTTAAACCAAATATCTTCAGATAGTTCATAAACTCTAGGATTATCTAGAATACGTTGTAGAGTTGTGGATTGTCCATCCATGCCATGGTAACTTAGTACAAGACTAGTAGAAGATATCTGCTTATTTGCGGATTCCATGATAACAAGTAAAAGTTTTGGTATACCAGCGTTGTCTTTTAATTTCAGCAAAATTGAGGCCTCATGAAGCATATTCTCCTCGGCTTCCTCGGGGGTGGTGCCTACCCTTCCTGTAAAGAACGACTTCACACAAACCTGAGTGCCTCGGTAGATAAACGGAACACAACTTGCAAAGCTTCCTTTACCGCGAGATAAACTCTTTGTTGTTTGTAACGGTTCCAATTCCTGACCATTTGAAATAAAACACTGTGGTATTTGGGATGAGCTTGCAATATAGGTTTCGCACAAACTGAAACTGCCACGTCTCAACCTCACAGATAGCCCTCTGCTCTTACACATCTCTCTATGAAGGTTCTCAATTTCCTCGTTCTGAGCTTGAATTTTTTCAGTCATCTCCATTTTCGCCTTTTCTGAATCCTCCTCTGTTTTTTGTAAACAATCATAAAGACTACAAATCTCCTCTTCATTCTTATGCAATTCCTCTTCATTCTTATGCAATTCCTCTGTAAGTGTAGCAATCTTTTTAATCATGTTTCTTTCCTCCATTTCTGGCAGTTCTTCATTGCCTGATCTTGCCATATTTCTAATTGTTCTTTTGCTGTGCCGAATCATTTCCGAACAAAGTGTCATGTAATTAGAATCATCACAAGCACGCTTCTTAAAAGTTACCTCTGTTTCAGATTTTCTTCTTGCTCTAGGAAAAAATTCACAATAATAAATAAGTTAAAAAAAAATTATAATAATAAATAAGTTATTTCATCTTGTAATATGTGGATGAGACTAATGCGCAAATCAATGAGCACTTATTGCAATTAGCAAACACAGCGACTTTCACTGTGAGCATAGTCAAATCTTTCTATTATACCTTACAACTGCAATGTAAAATTAGAACAGAGCTATATAATTGCTTTTTTTCTCAATTTATCCATAAAATATAAAAAATTCAAATGCATTGTGGGATCACCTGATACAGCTGCTGTAGATCGGACTTTCAAGCTTCAGATCAGGAGTATAAAAATAATATTTTTATTAATATTATTTTCAACAGAAAAATTATTAAATTAAATTCTGATGGATAACATTGTGAACAAGTTGAAATTCACTTACTGTAGTTCACTCCGTACAAATTTAAAGGACTAGTACTAGTGAATTACAGTAAACCTCCTGTAAAGCCGGTTGTCCACTAGGCGAATTTATTTGCTCGAATCGAGAGCATCGTTCATGCGTATGCACATTTCTATCAGTTTTTGCTTTAGCGAAATTGGCAGTTAAAACTGTTTCTACTTTTAAGAAGCGAAAAATGTGCGCAACAAATCAGAGCTCAGGAACCGAACCTGCGCCTTCAATTCGGGCGAATAAATTTGACTACTGGAAAACCGGCTTTGTTACCCGAGTTATGATTGGTTGCGCACATTTTTTTGCTTCGCAAAAAGTAGAAACAGTTTGAATACCAATTTCGATTAAGCGAAAACTCTAATAGAAATGTGAATGCGCAAATAAATTCGCCAAGTGGAAAACCGGCTTAAAGGACACCTAAAATGGTGAGTTTGTAAACATACCTGATTGGAGTCGTTTTCTTCACTACCGAACCCATTGAGACACGAGTTGACCTAACGACCTTTTTAGCAGTTCGATTGATAGAAGAGGCTCTAGTACGCCGTCTACCAGGCGTATAAACATAACTGACACCAGAGGAATCAGACATATTATTTACTTCTGTTTGAGCCCTTGTCTGGCTTAGGCCCATTGACCAGTTTTGGTTAGACATGCAACGATCGTCGATGGGCTCCGAATCGCTTTTTGCCTCATGCAATTGTGATGTATTTTGCAATGTCTAGAGGCTCAACTCTGCAAAATAGAAGAAGGATGTTACATGTAGAATGACTTGACTAATAATAGAGTTTGACAATAAAGGTTGAACAATGTCATTGTATTAATTGTGATAAAACATCAAGCACTTTGTCACATTGTTTTATCAGGGAGGTGGTTTTACAGCGTTCACTTCAGTCATTCGTAGCCACTTCGACAACCAAGAACCGGTTTTAACATGCCACGAATAACGGGATCATCAGCCGAAGACAACTTCCTACCGCCACACCAGGACCGAATTAAGGTTTATTTTGTGCGTAAAAATGATAAGTGTAAATATGCCTACCCACAAAAAAGATACCAGTTTCGATAATGTGGAGTTTGTCAAATAATATTCCACAATGATTCAACGTAAATAAATCTATGCGACATGCATGCTTATCATAATTAATGTTAAGGAAATCGACCAAAAGGCAAGCCGCAACAAGTAGCTCGCTGCTCAAAGGTAGGTGTGTATGTGTGTTATTGTTTGGTCTGGCTGATGAGATGGTCCCTAATGCATGAAGACCTTCCACCAAAACGCGCTTTACCTTCTGTCGTGTCATTTAAGCATCTAAAAATGTTCGTACAGTAGTTCCTATTAAAGCTTTTATAATTTTATTGTCATATATAGTTAGGGTTTATCCTCAGATCACAGCATACCTGGATGGCATTTAACAAAACAAAAACAACGTGTGAACACTTTTTGGGAACCTGTGGGCATTAATGGTACAGTCGGGTGTCGACCTAACTGCTGTACTGCGTATTTCTATTTTAAAGTTCAAGGACATGATAAGATAGACCATGGATAGACGTGCACCTGAGCTCCCCTAGCTTAGATCAAGGACAAGCTATAGTACAGTCAGACTGGTCTCTGAGTACAGTACTACAATATTTTTGGGCGTGCAAGTAATATACAGTTACAAACGTTTTAAGATACCTAAAAATAAAACCTCCTTTGATTTATTGCACCTGTCTAAGTAAATATATTATTAGCAAGCCTCTAATCGTTCATAGAAAACATTATCGACTTTCACAGTACAGTAGTTAAAAACCAATTACTGTATAAGTAAAAAAAGACATGCCACGACATTTTAATTTATGGAACCATAGCACTATTATGATTATCGTACGTTTTAAAATAGCACCACCCTGTAAGATCATACGTTCTGAAAATGTAGTGTCCCGTATGCAATCACCACACAGATGCCTATCGCGAGAGATGATGAGATCATAAAAATGAGCAGGGTACAGAATTAAAATGATTATACCACCAAAATGTATTACAATGTCCATAAATATTGTATGTTACATCAATAAAACGATCACGCATAAGTACAAAATTCACAAGATATACTACTACTAGTCAGAGAACCTACCTGACCAACAATGTTGGTTATTCATTTCTCTGTGGTTTAATTATAAAATATTTTAATATCAACAGATATAACAAAACAAAAAATGTACCGTTATTTTAAAAATCGCTATGTGGAGACAAACATACCATTATACTATTCTGTAAATGTTATGGTTTACCACAGACGCGAACATATAATAATTAACATTTTTTACAGATTTAATCTTGGTTGGATAATAAACGAACTCATTTCTAATCCTACCGTTTTACCAACCGGCATATATTATATGTTCCAAAGGACTGAAGGAAGGCGAAACGCAAGAAAGCATTCGGTGTTCATAAAAAAAACCACCTCAGTTCGTCACATTTGCGTAGGTTTATAGCGATATTATAATAGCGGCCATTGTTGAACATCGGTTTTTACCACCCTTTTCCGTGTTTCCTGCTTATCATTTTCAATGAGTTCAACTGTCAAGGGTCAATCATTCGTTAACTCTTGATGGTATTGTACTGTAATATCATCGATACGGCCCAGTATAAATCACAAGCACTGCTCATTATACTAGTATACGCCGGGATTCCCACGAGACACGTTAAAACAAATATAATGCATCAATGACATTATTGGCTCTCGGAATACTGCAATGCAATTCTTATTTTAATAGATGTTTTTTTTTTTCGTGTACAACATTAACTAACACATCCACACCATGATAAAACAGGAAGATGCTATTTATAGCACCTCCTCCAAAGAAAGGATGTCCATAAACATTCTTTTTTTTAAAGGACGTATTAATCGTGTTTTTCCAACCGGAAAAAATTATAAATACCGGTAGCTTATCAGTCAGTTAACATGAGAGTGCGGACCTCAATCAATCAATCAATTTATTGGATCCACTTTTGATACAGTGGCACTCATACAAAATTTATGGTGCATCCAAGAAACATACAAAAATAAAATACATGTAGAAAAAGAAAATTAACTTACAATTCCTCCACACAAACTTGGACGCTGGATTTTTTTTTTTCAATAGTATCCAGGATTTAATTAAGCTGCCCGAAAAAATATTTAGCAATTTGGCTAATTCGGTATGAAAACAATTAGCCAATTAGAAATGTGATTAGCCAAAACAAAAGAATATAAGCAATGATAGCTTCAATTCCATTAGCTTTTTGGCTAATTTTGAATGTAAATATTAGCAAAATTCATCATTTATTAGGATTTTGCTATTTGACTAATGACAGCAGCTTAAAAATTGAGTAGCATAATAAAGTATTTAAATTTAACAGATAATATATACTTTATACCAACTTCGTTAACTTTCGTTTACAATTCCTCTGAATTTCAATCTATTTTGTCTTTTTTATAAATTTATCCTAAAAAAATATGCCCTGCCATTTCTGTCTTTTGAATATGTTTGTAGTTTCAATTAGCCTTTTTTATTTGAATTAATGTATCAGTTGAAGTATTTGGAAACCAAATTTCATGTGAACCAAGTTGTGCATGTTGACCAATAAATATATCTTGTACTTCTAAATGACAGACCCAGGCCTAATAAGGCCTAGTTTAAGCTAGGTAGTAGTAGTTAAGCTAACTTCTCCTCATGAAAAATAAGGACCTAGCCTAGGGTAGGCTAGGCGTAGGCCCCCTAGGCCTAATTATGCCTCTTCTTAGTCTTAAATAATATTTATATAAGGTTTAAAGTTAAGGGCCTAGGCCTAGGTTAGGCCTATAGGCCTAGGCCTATTTCCAGTAGTATTATTACTGTGAATACCCATTACTGTCTGTACTACTTGGGCCTGGCTGGGCCTAGACCTAGTTTTTCTGGGCATCCATATATAATATGAAAAAAAAAGAAACAGACATATGCCTAGGCTATTGAAAAGATAAACAGTTTCAGACAAGGCCTAGGCTAGCATTTGGCTAGCCTAGGCATCGTTCAGCAGGCTGTGGACCGCTCTAGCCTAGGCCCTAGGCCTATTACTGCCACTGGCCGCGCGTAGCCTCTCTAGCTAGCCTAACTTATTCGTCTCTCACTTTTTTCTTAGGTCTAAGCCTACGGTATATTAAAATAAAAACTATCTTGGCATGAAAAGATACAAACCTCACTTCTGCTGGCCAAGATATATCTAGGCCTAAACAATACTGCTCAAATATTACTGTAAATTCAAGTCAACAAAATTACGCAGTCTTCAGACGATCCCGCTTCTAGCATTTTAAAAAACTGCATTATATTGCCTGGAGAGGGCGCTATAAAACACGAATCTGACATTATGTCATCAAAAAGTACAGTATTAAATTAACAGTATTTTGGGTTGACGATGTTGCGCTTTTATTAGCCAACTTGTTGAAAAGGAGATGAAAAATATTAGAACTTTATTAATGAACAGTTCGCAAAAGAGTGAGAAGTAAGTTTTAAAATGGACAAATCAAATGTATTGATATGATTACTTGAAGGAGATAAAAAATGGGAATAAATTGGAGGAGGCCAAAGAGAAACATTCAACAAATAGGCGTAGGCCTACCTTGGTGTATATATATCCAGAAAATTTAACCCTATTTCATTTAAAAAACATGGGTCATAGATTTATTTCTTACATAAAATAAATAATTAGTAATTCAATAGCGTCTACGGGGATATTTT